ACCCATTACTGCTCTTAGTATGTTCTTGTTTGGTCTATCAGCAATGGTGAACCAATGGAGCCTATTTTTGTATCACTACACAATGGAGGCATTGCTTTCTCGTGCAACACATTGGCAAAAGAAAAACCAAATTCAAAAAAGTTATTTGTTCTCCTCTCAGCAAAAAGAAAAAGAAGAAGGGAAAGATTGGAAACATTTGAATGGAGATGAAGATGCTTCTCTTTCGTAACAGTTCATCCTTTGCTTGTTGGTTGGGAAATGCTTTAGAGCAAATGATAACAAGATAATAAAATGAATATGGCTTTTATTATAAGATTGAGTTTTACTCTCCAATCAAGAGATCCAAAAAGCATATTCATAGCTCCACCCAATTAGATAATTTTGGAATTATCTAATGAGAAATACACCTTTTCCATTCTTTATTCTTTTGAAAATAAAACCAAAAGATAAAAAAGAAGAATAAAGTAATCCTTATTTACTTTTTTTAAAAAAATTAATCTATGGATTTTTTTGAATGTAAATGCTTTTGAGAAAAGAAATAATCATTAACATTATTTTATTGCAAAAATTATAATTTTATTTTCAATGTCAAAGCCATTAACATTATTTTAATGCAAAAATTAGAAATAATCATTTATTAAAATATGTTATTGTGAGTAATTACTTACAACTAAGCAAAAAGAAAAGGCTAAGTAGTCATTATTATTATTTCTTATTAATGTGGTTATTCCAAAGGTTGGCTTGTTAACAAACACAAGAAAAGAATAAAGGAATCTACAGCAACAAAGGAAAGAGAAAAGAATAAATATTGATCAATAGCCTAATCTTTCCTTGCCATCTCTAAATTTGTTATTCACTTATGGAGAGAGAGAATTGAGAACATCAAACATTTTAGCCATCCACATGAATTGGTGTTCAATGATGAAGAGCAGAGTGAGCAAAGTGGAGTTTGCTGCTCAGCCCAAGTTTTGGCTGTGGAGAATGCGAGTTTTACCTCCATAAAAAATGTGCCCAGGCACCTCTCAAAATTAGACATTCTCCTTTTCATCGTAAGCACCCTACTCTTACACTTGAGCTGATGTCCTTTTCCTGTGATATGTGCAAGGATTGCACTTCTTGCTCAGCTGGCCTTGACATCAAATGTGCTTTGCGATTGCATAACATTGATGAAGATTTCTGTGAGCTCAGATATGTTAGTCATGAGCATCTATTGGCCTTCATTGCAAATCCCAAAAATGAACTCCAAAAGCTGATTGTTATTGGTGTCAGAAACCAGTGATAGACTCCTTATATGTTTGCCTTGAGTGTATATTTTTCCTTCATAAACAATGCGCTTAGTTACCCACTCAACTTGATCACCCTTGCCATCGTAAACACCTTCTTTATCTTGAAGATGATAAGCTTGTTTGTACGCAATGTGAGAGGCGTCATTGGAGTTTTTTTTTTATAGTTGTTTTCCTTGCAATTTTCACATTGACATTGAATGCGTTCGGTCGAAGCCAAGGTCCTTTATTGAATTTAATAGTGATCATGAGCAATCATTCACTCCATTGTTAAGGCATGATTCATTCATTTGTGATGCATGTGGTATTAAGGGAAATTGTTTTCCTTACCTAGGTACTACATGCCACATTATGGTACATAAAAATTGCATTTCATTGCCACGAATCATCATTATATTTTTCACAACTGTTACTTTCAAAAAAAGGATCTTGAAAGTCGTGATTGTGGAATTTGTCTCAGTGAAGTGAACACAGAGTACCGCAATTACAAGTGTTTGAAGCAAAATTGCAATTTTATTGCCCATGTGAATTGTGCATTGGAGAAGAGGATGTATGATATAATTGATCATGTAAATGATCAAGATGAGGAGTGTAGTGAAAGTTTAGCTACAAATTCTGTTATCACTCATGTCATTGAAATGAACCAACATGGAGAAGCCACAAAGATAAAGCATTTTCAGCCATGAACATGACTTAACATTAGGCAATAAGATCAAGGAAGACAATGGTAAAAATTGTGATGCGTGCATGCTGTCCATCTCAACTTCCTTTTATTATTGTTCACAATGCGAGTTCTTCCTCCATAAAGCCTGTGCTGAATTACCCAAGAAAAAACATAATTGGTTTTATCGATATCTCACCACCCTCAATTTAGAAGACATTTTCAAGTGTGGCCAGTGTGGTCGCCTCTGCAGTGGTTTTGTGTGCAAGATTGACAATACATATGGACCTCATTTTTGTCTAAGGTGTGTTACAATTCCTCATACCCTCATTTTAAATTCAAAGGACGATGCACACAAAAATTGTCTCTTTTTTTATTTTAACTTCAAAGGGCAATGCAATGCATGTGGTGTCACTTGCAAAAATGGTGCATACAAATGCAAAGATTGCACCACTTTTGCATTGGATTTTGCATGCGTTACACTACCGCAAGAAACTCGGTACAAGTGTGATAAACACCTTTTAAAACTTACTTTTCAGGATGAGAATAATGATACAGAACAACAATATTGTGATATATGCGATGAAAAAAGAGATTCATATCGTTGGTTTTATCAATGTGCAATTTGTAACAACTCTGTTCATCCGAAATGTGTTCTTGGAAAATATCCGTTTATGAAGATCAAGATTGGGATCACTTTCCCGTGGTTAGCTCACCCACACATTCATCCTCTCATTTTTGTCAAAAAGTGTTATGACACTTGCTATCACTATCGTCAACCTTGTCAAGATGTAGCTCTTGAATGTGTACTTTGTACACGCAACTACACCATCCACTATGATTGTTGGGATTATTGAGCTTGTCAGCTTTCTTATAAAGTGGAGATGCAGTTGAAAAGAGCGCTTAGTGTTTTTTATAGTGTGAGATTATATTCCATTGTTTTATGAATTTCTGTTCAGTATTATCAACTTTAATTCTGTTTTGAAAAAAAAAAAAAATGAAGGAAAACTAGGTCCCATGGGGAAGAAGTCCATGCCAAGGAGTTCACTTCTAGCCTTCCTTCTTTTGTCAATCTTTAACAGTATGTAAGTGTTGGCTTCATTGGGTTTGTAAGATTTGGTTCCATGTTTCTAATGTTTGCTTATGAGTGGATTTGGCTTGAATGACATTGCTTTTTCTTTCTTTTAATTTATTGGTGTTGTTCCAATCTCTGTTTTGAATCCAATCAATTAGTTTGCTACACTTAAAAACATGAGCTTGTTGGCAATTTCCAGCAAATATAATATGCTTACAGTAAGAAGAGTTAGTCTATCCCTCCTAAGCCTTCCAAATCCATAGAGTGATATTTAATACCTCTCCAAAAAATAATCATCAAATATATATATCTGTATTCGAGTTCGAAGTATGTTTAATCAATGAATTTTCACGTTAGTCCGAGAAGTGTAATTCTCAAGTACGAATTCATTAGAGACTAGCATTATGTCAAATAGAATTGTGACAATACACATCTTGGTACATGTACGAACCAAATATTATACAGATGAATAGAAAAAACATGATGGCACATTTTGTTGGGAAAGCATGCTTCATCCTTTGCAAGTATCTGTTCAACTGTAAAAATCCATTACATTCATTGAAGGCTTCAGGTAGCTTCCTTAACAGAAGAGAAAAGAACAGTATAAATCACGATTACAAAAGTGAAAGGTTCCAACATTCATCTGTGCTCATCAATGTCTACACTGAACACTGAAATCTTTAATCATCACTTTGTAATGCTAATCCTGCTTAGTATCTGCTCTCCACCTTCACAACGCATTAAGCATCCAGTTATTACCAATGATATGGTCTAATTGATGCAGGTAGCTTACCATTCCAGATCTCTAGTCAAGTCTTGATGCTACTGCAGTTAAGAACCTCTGCATAAGGGAGAACCCTCTGACAAGGCACCAAATTTTAACAAACATAAAATGCATGTTCAGGGACAAATTCAGCACCACAAATTGTTCAAATTTTTTCTAGCCTCAACAAACACTGATGTTGTTCTTGCAGGCACAGTGAAGCACCCCGACAATGCTTCATACGATGAGTTCTTGACAACTTCATCAGTTGACATCACCTGTTATGTGATTCACAGCAAAAGGGTGTTAAAAGCTATAAACAAATGAATATATAAGCCGATTCAAGAAATAGCTTTTGAGAATTCCCACTAAATCCAATCCTTCCCACCCTGATACCTCATTCAAACCATTGAAGGTATTTTGATAGCTCAGAAAGTCTAAGGAAGAGAAACAATCAAATGCTACAGCTACTACGAAACAATAATCATTTTAAGACTTTCAAGTTTTCATGTTTCAAGCAATATTTTCCCTACCTGATCCCCTCTTCTCATCCGTAAAGTAAAGGATTGGAGAAAGCTATGGTGATGAATATCATACTTCTTTTTTTCTTTTGAATCTTTCTGTTGACCTCAAAAATGCCATTTAGAATATCTAGTAAGCTAGAATTGATTAGTTCAATAGCTTTGAAAATTATTACACAGAAATATAATGTAAAAACATCCAATACAGAGTTGGCCATTTGAATTATATGAACTACTGTTCTCAAACTAATAAACTATGACTACCTGTATGGGATGCAGTTGAAGAGCCCTTCCTCGCAGTGTAGAGCTAATGAATGATGCCTCAGTTGGACATGCATTGAAGATAACCACAATGTATGAGAAGCTGTAAAAAACGACGAATTACGAAACTATGATAGATAATATATACCTATATATACATATATATATATTGTATGTTTGTATGTATTTTATAATACCCACTTGGGATCTAACTGAGATATCCCTGGGACACCTTCGTTACCATCTTCAATGCTCATCACAATGACGCCAGGGACCCATGATGGACCAGTGTTGTGGAACCGTACTCGTTGCTGGAGACATAAGCCATATCATTGCATTAGAAAGGTAGTTACTGATAGGTTTTTTTGTGGAACTTTCTCCTAATGTAGCCATTTAACAGATCCATTCTTACAAAGACTAAAGCTAACAAGGGCAAGGAGGCGGCGGTCTTCAGCTTCAAACTGAACCACGTCATTGTCATGTTTTAATGTTTCATCTTACATTGTGGAGTGGGTAGGCAGGCAACCAAGTGAGACAGTATAGAAAATGGAAGCAGGAAAACCCACATTATAATAAAAGACAATTTAAACCTATGAGGCAAAATCAAGTCGTATGACCAAGATGCATTTTCCAGAAACATCAGTTGCTATAGCTTAGTTTGATATCAGAAAAGGTAGCAAATGCATTTGGCTGGGTTTTACTTTTTACAATGGTATAAGAAAATATAAGGGAATAGATTCATCAGGGTTTTACATTATGTAATGAAAAGGAAATCTTGAAAACCGAAGATGAGGATAAGTGTTGTTTACTGACGAGAAATCCATCATCACTCTTTCACTGCAGTCTGAACATGTTTAAATGAAAGGTTTTGTTTAAGGTTAGTCATTGATATTGACAAAGAACTGCACTCTATAACCTTCTTTATTATAAGTATAGCCACTGGATTGTGAGATGGTCGGACCAACTCAAAACATGAAAAAGATTTTCAACCAGAAATCAAAGCCCCATATTATTAAGGCCTAGAAACAGATAATATTGAATAAATTCACTATTTCTAGAAAGATTCAAGCATAGTTCAGTAGTTGCCTTGAAATTAGAAAGCTTAAGAGCTGCCCTTTGGGCATCTGTTAAAACCCACCATAACTCAAAAAGAAGAAAAATTGGCTTAAATGTCAGAAATTCGCAGCCCAACCATGCATATCTTTTGTCAATGCCACAAAAAAAAAAAAGAAGTGCAAATGACAAGGATCAAGAATGTTGCAAAAATTCAGTCTATCAACAAGTAAGATACGGCTAACCCAGCTTTGACCTAAAGCCCTAAAGATTCTGTGCAGTTAACAAACATAAGTGTAGTCCTTGATTCAATTCCACAGTGATGTCGTAGAATCTCAAACTCTCAACTTGTACATTTAAGTTCATAATACCTTTGCTCACCTGGATAGCATTGGCTGTCCTTAAACGGAAAAGAGGTGAAGAATACCGAATGCGTAAGACGTTCATAAAGTTCTCTACTGCTGCAAGGATGTGACTCCTTTGAGGCTTGAAGGATGGATCTGCCAGTCTTGGCTGTATTCTGAAAGGACAGAACCCAATATCATTAGGAATATCATACGATACACTCTAAAAAGTAGAATAATTGTCGGCTAACTAGCAATGTAGAGATTTTAGTGCCATAACATTACCCTTTATTAGAGAATTAATTAAAACGAAAAGGAAATAAGATGATGCTTACAGTGGCCAATTCTTTTCATTTTTCTCTTTTGGAGGAAGGCCAAAACCCCAGTTGTTAGAATGGTACGTGAAGTCTAGTCTGTAAATCATAACAAGTAAAAACTGAACTTGAGAAGAGCTGAGATATGTTACAGCTAGCAGCCACACTCAGGAAAGAGAGACTAGACCTCTTTGGTTTTAAAACATCTTTTCGTCATCAGGGGCAGCTTAACAATTTTTTACAATATCATCATGGAGATAATTGAATTACACTTTTATCAGAATAAAAATCAAATTTATGGAATGATCAATGAAGCAAAATAGAGAACTTGAAATGCGAAAGCAGACCTATTGAACCAATCACCAGAGTTGTATGAATCACGATCAAGTGATTTCGAGCGTAGCATTTCATCCCCAGCATGGAAAAATGGTATTCCCTATATGTATGACAGAATAAAAAATTAACAATACAATAAAGATATATTCAGAAATATATCCAATTGTCAGCAAAAGCAGAATGGATCATTATAGATTATACTGAACTGGTCGCTTGATCCTTAAAATTCCAGAGCTCATCACTGTTCACAATGAACCACACACACCTCTGCTTCAATATTTGTATCACTTAATTTCAAATAAGTTTTGGAGCTTATTTTATCCATTTATTTTTTGTGCAAAATGAGATAAACCAAGTACTTATGTATTTGAACAATGATCTCTTCACCTGATCATGTTTAAGACTATGGGATTAAAAATAGGTTTGCATCCAATAGTATAAACACACTCATGTGAAGACATCAATATTTCACCTGAGTGTGTTTTAGTCCATTGGAAAATAGATTTGAAAAGCCAAAATATAGCAAACCAAGTTTAGGTTGCACCATTTTAATATTCAACCCAATTATCAATAAGTTATTCACAGGCTAGGCGGTTCAGATGCAAAAGCTAATTTGTAGCATTATTAGCCCCATTAGGAAAAAGAAATTGAATCAGTTTGACCATGACTCCTAAGGGGGGTACCTTCTTGTCACTAGATACTTTAAGTTCCTTCAATATATTATGATCATTGGTCAATGCAGATACATAAATTAGATTGTTAATAATATTGGCAACGGGAAACCTGTGACAGTGCAATTATAGTTGTTGCAAAATGATTTATCCGGCATCTCTCTTCCACAGATATTTCTACTGGTGTCTGCAAGAGGAAAAGTTAGAAGTCATAGTTGCAGTAGGATAGAACATTATCTTTTTATTTTTTTGGAAAATTGGGAGAGAACATTATTATTAGTATCATCATGAGCATACCTTCAAGCTGACAATGTCAAATAGGGTTTCATTGTCATGGGCTGAAACATAATTGACCTGGAAAATGATCAGAGATATAAACTATATGGTTTTGGAAAAGATTATACTCTTAAAAAAGAATGCTTACCTTCTTATCAGAGAATGTATACAATTGATATTTAACTGAAATATGCATAGCTGCTGTTGCTTCAAGAAAGACTATACTCTTATTAAAGAGTTGAACAAACAACAATTGATATTGAACTGAGATATCCATAGTTTGTATTGACATCCCATTTGGATTAGAATAAACATAATCAGCAACCCATGGAATCTTAGAATGCATGATGTAGAGTCAATGAACTTCAGCATTCTTACAAAGCATGGTTTAACAAAAACTTCCAGCAAAGAACCAACCACATTGGCTGTCTTGTTGCATCAAGATTATAAAATCATAAAAATGATATAATTTCTGAACAAATAGAAAGAAAAAATCTAGCAAACAAACAACTTAATCCATCTAACTAATTAATAGTCTTATTATATTAATGGATGAAACAAATAAAAGAACTTTGTTTTTTTTTTTTTTTGTGGACATGCAGTCCAATCTGCAGATTCATATGATGAAAAATGCCAATGGTTCATTCTAAAGAAAGTTTGCATCAAAATTTCAATGACAACGCAAGGGAAATGACAAGATTCCCTCCATGAAAAGACAAACAGGAAGGTAATATTTAAACAATTGATTCCATTTTCACCAAAGAAACCATCTCCAAGATGGCCATTCCATGAATTTGGGCAATAGGAAATTTTAATCTCTATCAAGGTCCCAAGTCTCCCTCAATAGTTTGGAGCATCTCCACTCCTTAAGCATAGCAAATTTTATAATAGTTTATACCATTGCGTTGTTTCCTGTGCAGTCAACTACCCTACCCACCCATGTAAGGCAATCTATATATTATTCCTAAAATGGAATATACAAGAGTTAAAATTTGTCAGATTTGGATCTCTAAAAGAGAAACCAACAAATACAACAAGCAATGAAGAATATACCAACCCTTTGCCAGACCAAAAACAAGTTATAAGAACAAGGTACAGCAGTATAGTCAATATCTTGTGATATCTTTTCTGATAACTTAAGTGTTGATTGTGTCGCCTAAACGTTGTTTGTTTTGCAGCATTTATATGGAACAAAGATGTCTCTCTAAAAACTTAACAGAATGTTCCTATAAAATGAATCATCCAAATAACCTTCCACCAACAAACCCTTTGGATTTCCTTAGCACTGGTTCATAGCAATCATTTTGGAAGTTGAGATTTGTTAACCACCTTCATTTCCCTTCTCTTGGTCTGTTGGGGACAGAGTTTTACCCTCAGGAAGAGGGGAGCTGCAGGATTCTCACTAATCGAAGGATGACTGAAAGCACATATACTACGAAAATTTGCACCAGCAAGTAAAATGCATACATTCAAGCCAAAGAGGGGTACATGAATCTAATCAAAGTAGAAGTAATGACAGAAAGTAGGATTCATACTGTTTCTGTGGGGAGTAAAGCATAAGCAACAGGTGTCCCACCATGAGTGAAAACTTCTGATCCTTTCCTCTAAGAGAAAACATCAATTTAAAATGAAACAACATGAGATAGCACCTCTTGGCTTAAAAAAGGAATAATTATAATATGTAGAAATTGAAGTATAAAACATACAAGAAGCTTTAGTGAGAATGGAAGAGTAGCAACACTTTCTGGCTTGATGGAAATATTAAGCCCAAAATAAAAGAAAATCTGTCACACACTTGTGAAGGTAGATGTAGTGACAAAAAAGATGAAACAATTTCTAAATTAAAAACCAGCTAGCTGTATACAAACTTAGGGGGATTGTCAAGAACCACAATTTTTCCATGGTCATTTATGTAAGAAATATATAATATTTCTTACATCAACGACAATGGATATACGTATCATGCATTTAATGCTGTCATCCGAAAACCTAGATATATTGAGTAACAACTTTCTATTTATGCATCAATTGAGCTGACTGTCAAGAAACTCCGAGAATACACCTTCACTGTAAGAACAATTTGGTTGACAAAAGCATAACAAATAAATCCCATTACAAGCAAAAGAAAACTAAAAATGAGCCCTATACTTTTTAGCATAAGGAAATTATATTGTTGCATCACCAAAATAAATTTCCAGAACTAAATATAACAGCAGATATAATTGCATTTCACATATAGATGCATCATTCCAAGAAGATTAATTTATACCTCCTTTCCTTCAAAATCAGTAAGCACAAAATCCCTCAAATTTGCAGCCATACCAACCTAATCACAGTAAACAAATTTAATTAGTAGCAAAGCAGAGGATAATCCATTTTGCAGCATCTGGATCTGAAAGCATGGGCATCATAAATTGTATCATGACAACAACATGCAACAATCGTAAGATGATAAGATAGTCCAATTTCCAGCAGCTGTATCTAAAAGTATGGGCACAACTTTCTTATGTACCTGTATAATTGAGTTGTACACAGACAAACACACAGTCGGATTGCAAAAGCATTACTTTCCAAGCTACAGATTAATAAGAGGAAACAAGACGATAAATTTTTATTTTAACAACTATTTTAATTTTACTTCCAAGGTCATTTACCAGCTTTGTATGCAGATGCTATCAACTCAATCACAAAACAGGTGGATATATACACTGCAAGATGAAATAGCATTTAAGTGGGTTCTTAGCTATAAATCTTCAAAAAAGAGTCTAGCAATATAAAAATACTTCAACATGCACTAAAATTCCCAACCCATTCTGCTAAACAGTTGAATCTTCATAAGTCCAGCAATATAAAATTGATTGGCACTAGTTACCACAAAATCTAATAGTCCAAAATGACATCACCATATCAATTTATGAAGAGTATGCAATTAGAGCAGTATATGGTTAAAACCATTTATTCCAGATTATCATACGTGCAGATCAAGACAATTAACCTGGATGTGGTCCTTTGCTGAAGCAAGCATCTCTCTTTCAACTGCTTTTGTACCATGATCATGACCATTAGGCTGCAATGACAAATAATAAGGACACTAAATCAAACCATGGTAATGTATATTTCTCGAAGAAAAGGCATATGCAAAAACAGTCAGTTTTTCAAACTATAATATAGCAAAGCCCAATAAACTAAAGCAAAAGCTGTTTTATGAAATCGTTGTTCATCCAAGGCAAAATGCAGGCAAGAAGCTGACAATAACACTTCTTAATAATATCAACTGTTACAGAATATGGATAAAATAAAAACTTTTTGGATGCATATCATGGAAGAATCCAAGAAATTATTAGAAGGATGAACCAAAAATGTAACTGCTAAATCGTGCTTGATAGTTAGATCAATTAAGTTTGGGATTTTGTAGCGGCCTTATATGGAGATTAGGCTTTTCCACCTAGCGGCAATTTGTTTTGGGCTGGGTGTCTTAACGCACAGTTTATGTTGTTTTAAGAGCATTGTTTTGGTCCATGTGATAGGCCATTGTCTGAATTGTTCTATTTGGCTTGCAGACCTTACACATCAGAGGGAGTTTTAAATGGCATGAAATCCGGCATCTGTTAATTTTGAGCTATATAATGGCCTTACATTCAAGTTAGTACTCTCAATTAATTACGAAATAGTTTAAGGTTTGGATGCTTTAATGGTAATAACTTAAAGAAACTTAAAGATCATTTTAAAAGCAGTTTCACCAATTTCCCAACCTTTATAGCCATATATCCTACATAAACAACTTAAAGGAGCCAATTATTTTCCTTAATAAGAGTCACACCCTTATTGTTACAGCTTGACAAAACAAGTCCTTGATATAGAAAACAAGAATTTTTCAGTTATTGAACAGAGAGATCAGGCAAAGTTAAAAGTTATTCAAGGACAATCTTACACCAAAAGATGATGACCAATCACTGAGGAGCAAACACAGTTTGTGAGTTTATTCAACTTTTCTAATAGATAACAGTTTTAGACCCATATTTTATTAACGTTCTGAAACGGTAAGATCAAGTCAAAAATTAGTCCAAGTGGCTATAAAATAGATTCACATTGTAGCCATTTTTTTCTAAAGAGGGTGGTCCGACAAGATAACATAACATCAAGAAGGTTAAGTCCTTGTTACAGGATTAAATCTTTCACTACCTCCAAAAACAGGCCTGTTATGAAGCCTTGCTGGAGAGGATGACCAAATGGAGATCCACCAAGCATTGCATCCCGAATTCGATCATTAAAGCTGCAAAAAAAAATTTACAATGCAAAAGCCAAACATAGCTTACTAAACAATGCATGCCAACATGGAAAAGGTGATGATCTTTTTGAATTTGAGAGAAATGATAGAAAAATAAAAGTTGCAGGAATTTGTGACAAAATGGTAGCAAAAGCACACAGCAGTCTTTTGTGACAAAGCATAAAAAGGGTCTAAAATTTGTCTAAATCTGCACTTAGTGTTTTGTTCCATAACCACTGAACTACTATTTAGATGCAATTAAAATAAATCAACTAGGGAATATTCCATATTTTATAGTGGTCTTGTTATTTTCAATTGTAAATGTTATCAGTGTAGGTAACAGATGCATTAGCAATTGGATTTATTTGCACCAAATTAAAAGTTCAATGGTTTAGTAGAACCAAATAAAATATAATGGCTTAATTTAAGAACTGAGGTAAGTTCAATGGCTTTTTCATACTTTATCCTCAATGGCTGATGCTTCCTTTAACTCACCCTAGCATGATCATAATTACAAAGCCAATTACAAGCCAAGGATTCAGATTTAAATACCAAATATATATATATTTCCTTTTTCGTAGAAGAGATATTGCTAATCAATAGAAATTTGAATTACAATAGATGTGATAAAACCATCGCAGAAGCAATCAAGTTAACCATGAAAGGAAACCTCCATTATAGTAAGTATTTTAATTAGAAAATACTCCATTTATTTCAAAATGAATGTTCTCCTTGCAATTTTCAGATGAACACAAACTATAACCTCTTTCCTTTTTTTGAACATCTAAAACTTACTTTATCTAAAAATAAATAAATTATAAACTTAAGTTATCTGCTTCAAAAAAAAAACCTTACTTTATCTATATTCAAAATTATTTTTTCATTATTTTTCTTCTTTGCTCTTTGGCATTAAGAAAATCATTGAACATCGACATTATTACACAAAGAAATTTAAACTTTAATATAAAATACCTTAAAGTCAAAATTTCTTTAAAATTGTGTGCTGAGTCAAACAAGGCCAATTTTATTTGGATTAGAGGTAAACATATGTTTAAACAAAGCAAATGTAAACAGGTAGAGATTGTATAATAGTGTATATTGATCTCTTATGAGAATTATAAGTACCTTCCTATTCCAGTCCCACAAATGTTAAATTGTGAAGCATTTATCCCACGCCCATTTTCAGCAACTTCACCAAAGTCCCATCCTTCACCATATCTGTAAGTAAGAAGATTTCAAACTAAAAACACCAAGAATAGCTGCTGGAAAGAAAATTCCAAATATTTCCTAACTCTAAAATACATAGAGAAACTACAAAGAAACCCTCAGGATTTTGCATAGTTTCCTATAAAACACTTAATTTATACATGTTGCAATTCAAAGAGAATTGCTATTGTCTGCTTTGGGACCTACCCTCACGGTTTTGTTCTCTGAGAAAAGGCACCTCCGTAGGGGAATAGGCATGCCCTTGCTTATAAGCCACAATCCAATCCTTGGTTATTAAGATTGTGGGATCTTTCTCCTTCAATAGGACAAGTGTATGTATAGAAATTAACCTAAGGGCATTATTGTAATCTCACTACCCTATATCTAAAGGTAATATAAGCCTCCAAAGGGCTCGTTCTCTTCACTCTTATTTTAACTCTCATTATCTTATCTCTATTCAGTTACGAGATACTGACTTGAAGATCGGAAAGCACCTTGAAGTACAAACTCCGGTGTCCTCAAACTGTCTTAGGTTTGCAGGTTGAGCGTTGTTCTAGACAATTATGACAGATTTTGACCTCAACATTTTGGCACATCTGGGGGAATCCCATACAGGTCCTAAACAAAAGAACAATTCACCCATCTTGACGGCTAGTGTTTGAGGGGGAAAGATCTCACATCATTAATAGCCAAGGATTGGACCATGGGTTATAAGCAAGGGCATGCCCATTCCCTTACTTAGGTGTCTTTTTTCAAAAGACAAAACTGTGAGGCTAGACCCCAAAGCAGACAATACCTTGTGACTAAACACAATCCAACAATTCTTGCATCAACAAAGACGACTTCATTTTGATTCCATAACTGTTTTTCTTTTCTTTTCTCTCTCTTTCTTCCTTTTTCTTTCACTTTTCTATCTACAAAACACCCTGGATTCACTCTTTCTCCATCCCCTCCCCTGGTTTGTCTCTCTAACATTCTCTCTCACTCCTCAGTGGCTGGCTGCAATTGAGAGATCAAGGGGTGTAGGAGAAGGTTAGAGAAAGAAAGTGAAAAGGTGGTTTGGAAAGAGAGAAGAAAAAAGAAGAAAATGAAGGGAAAAATAAGAGAAATTTAAAACAAATAAAAAAAGGAAAAGGAAAATACAAGCAACTCAAAAAGATATTGTCTTGAGAGTTACCATTAATTTTCTAAATAAAGTTGGATGGAAGGTTTGAACTAAACCAATTCTTTTTGAAAATTAATGTCTGAATTGCAACATGTTAAAATCTAGTTAAAATACCCTACTTTTATAGGATTTTCTACTTCTAATCTGCCCAACTATTTTTAGTATAAGATATATAGAGCCATTTCCAATAAAGTAACAAAAGCACAAAAAAAGGAGTCACCAAGAAAGAAAAATCATTTCATGGAAACTCACATATAGATTCTTGAACCATCAACCCCATTTCTTTCCTTTGTTAACCTCCACAGTGCATCTTTTGCTTTCACCTATGCAGAGATCATATGAGTTCTGTCTGAATTGCATGGCTAAATATAGGAGAAATAAAGCGATATAAATACACCAAAACCACAAGAAACTATATATAATCAACTTATAATTCATTGCCCAGCTTAAAAGATTGTCAATAATCAAAACACTCAACCATGTAAGTCTCACTAGCAAAGTAATTTATACATCCATTGACCATAGTTTGAAACGAATTTATGTTGACAATAAGAAACCAATAGACTACAAGTTGGAACTTCTATCATTAAATAACAGCTTAACCATCATTCATAATTTGAATACACCAAGCAGAAACATTTAACAGCCAACTAACGTAAATATACAACTCAGTTCCATCAGTAGACCATGTTTGTATTACCCATAAATGTTGGTTATCACCTTATCCTTATGACTAATCTAAACATGGAAAAACTCACAAAAACATATACAACTAGAATTTCAATGGAAGCGTTCGCTACTTCTCTTTAAATTTTTAATATTATATTTCAAAAATTGAGACAAAGTAACCTACATACCATCGTACTTTTCATTATGTGACCCATAAGATCAAAACGAAACCCATCAACCTGACAACACCATCAAAAAATTAACATCAATGATGGACAAAGTACCCATATACTTCAGTAACACTTCATAGAAAAATAAGAATTCTAATTTAATCTGACAACATATTACATGGTTAACTAATACAACCATAGAAAAGTAGGGAAGAAAATTTCCTAAATATAGGAGAAATAAAGTGATCTAATTACCCAGAAACCGTAACAAATTATAATTAATCACCTTGTAATTGATTGACCAGCTCAAAAGATCATCAATAATCAAGCGCTCAACCATGTAATGCTCACTAGCAGTATTGTTCACACATGTACTGTTCTCAATAAAACCATCATTGTTCCTTCTCAGATAGTAACCTGGAACAATCTATAAGAAACTTTCTATCACAACAAAAGGATAACAAATATTACTACCGAAATACTATAAGCAGCATGGACACCAGAAAAACAGTGACCTTATCAAGAACAGAATCCTTATCAAAAGGACCACTTGCATGCAAGTGATTATAGACAACATCCAACACAATACGAAGACCAATATGGTTGAGTGCCTGCAGTCGGAAAATGAAATCATTAAAATGACTAAAAATGAACTTCTTAAGTTTCATATATGGACCAACAAAGCAAAAATGTCAACGGTTCCAACATGAGGACTTCACACACTCAATGGCCCCGACATGACAAGGAAGAAAAGAAAAAATATCTAGACCTGAATCATCTTTCTAAACTCAATTATACGACATGGGCCATTTGGATCACTTGCATAGCTTCCCTTAGGGACACCCCAGAGAACAGGATTGTACCTTCATAAAGCAATCAATGAAAGCATTAAAACATGCACAAGGTAACAGATATGACAATTGTTATCCAAATTGCATTCACATGCTCACCCCCAGTTATACGCATCATCATTCTGGATGGCAGTAATTTGCACTTGTTGCTCAGCTGAATCTGGTGGTAGTTTCTTCAGAATCTTATAATCTGCAACAGACGTGATGTTGAACAAATAAATACCTCCAACACAACTTAGGAGAGCCAAAACCAAGCACAGATATTAATAAAATAAATAAATATATTTATTTTTCTATATATATATATATTCAACACTGAGAGGGAAAGATCAGTAACCAATTTACAAAATGAATATTAAGAAAAAGTAATGCTACATTGACAAGCCATTTTTAATAGGACCATCATATTTGGACATACAAACAGACATTAAGGTTGCATATCTGTATGTCCAAAGTATGATGATTTTAAGCCCCCCAACCTCTCCTCCCATTTTGTTTAATTTTTCTGAAGTCATGATTTAGGCAAGGTAGGATCAAAAAGGAAAAGAGTAAGAGAATGAAAACCAACACACATGGAAGGAAGCTTAACATAAACAAGTTTTTTAAATGATGCCCAACAAGCTGAAGTGTTAGGAACTAACTTTAAACTCACCTAAGTCGAGACCAAATGAATTTTACGAATGCATTGATTCTGATATCAGAAAGCAGACTTTCTTTAAACACCCCCAACTCCACACACCCCCCCCCCCCCCACCCCAAAAAAAAAATAAAAAGGCTTCTATCCCCCAAGGGAAGGGAATTAGAAACAGGAGAAATTGTTGCTTTAAATGCAACATCCAAGATGTTAAACTAGGAAATCCTCTTACCCACATACTTCCAGTTCTCACTCTCATCATCAACACCAGCAAACTGGAATGTTGGCAGCAAATGAACATGAGTGATGCCAGCATTTGATAATTTCTTCAAATGGAGCACTCCTGCTGAGTCCTTCAAATTGCATGTACTTATTGTTAAGTACCAAATAATCATGCACAATCATCTTTATCGCAAAGAAAAGGAAACAGAAATGCATAATCATAGCATTTTCTTTCCCTTACACGTGAAAATATTTATGTGCACTCATTAAACTTTTATTGCTTTTTTCCTTAGTAACTACAGAAGTGGATCACACAAATGCCGTGACGGATTTTAGGCCGACTCTCAGCGAGGCACCCAAACTCAGAAATACCATCTCTTGTGTAACAAAAGGAAAAGTTTGCTTTTAAATCATGCAATTTTTCAACACTATTCCTTGTACCAAACATCATTGTCTGTAATTCACAGCTTTAAACCTTCTTTATATTTTACACTTCTTTTATATTAAAAGAATACTTAACAGTAAAACTTTCAATATATCAAAGGCGAAAAATGAAAAAAAATTCCTAAAACCATGTGCCAAATTCAAACAAGGCATTGATATTGGGACAGAGGGAGTACAGTGGTAGTATTTCTAATTCCATAGAGTACAGATACATTTGCATTAGAATCCAAATTCCAATGAAACTGCAAAGCTTGCTTTACTTTTTCAAATCAATCAAGGATCCTATTTAAGATTAAAAACGACATCAATTCCAAAACGGAATGATGCAAAGCATATTAAATCATGTATGCTCAGAAATCGTGTTGTAGCAGGAACTATAAACATCTTAGAATTATAGTACTGACTAGCAGAGAAAACTTTGCATTCTTTCAAGAACAACTTTCTTCCAAAAATAAGGATCACAAGAACACAACTACCTGTAAGGTGAAGGCCATATAACCGCCACAAAAGTCAGGATTAACAGTTTTGTCATTGGCACTGCAATAGCAACAAAGATTCTCATTATTAACACAACTTGCTGAACACTGCACAAGGGCCAAAGAAGAAACAAAAAATGACCCTAATTTTGCACATTACCTAAAATTGGAACATGTGGACACTTTAGGTTACACAAACCTTAGCCTACTTTCCCTGATCCTCAGAAGGAGTAGGAACAAGCAGGCTATAGTTCAGATTCACCCTCCTCCTTCCTCCCCACTCCCAATCCCCCCAGTAATGTTCTCTTCAAATGAACCAAAGTATGAAGGGTAACATGAGCCACAGCTCTAAATAGAGCAAACCATAGACAGGGAAGGGTTCACATTTTAAGTTTGGGCCTGGTGTTTGGAGAGACTCTCCTGATCCAATAACTCTACAAACTATTTGAACACCACCTGAGAAAAATCTTATAATGTACTACATACTAACCCATAAAACCTAGTAAATGTGACCTAGATTACGTTGTAAGAACAATATAAGAATTACATATATACCTAAAATCCCGTATGTGTAATTCATATATACTTATGTCAGAGAAAGACAGTATATCAGGTTTCTTGTCTGCCAATTCATCCCATCCTTCAGGTTTTAAACTGTTGGAATCAAGATTAACAAACAAAGTTCGCCTTCCGTCTGATGAAAGCCTGATTCAACAAGGAAACAGCATACATCACATTAAATGCACATGATCTTTATCTCAACTACATAAATATAACCATAATCAGGTAAAGCAGACCACATAACTTTAGACACAAATCACGCACAGCTATACCAGAGAATTGTTTGCTAGCAGAGAGAACCAGCATACCCTCTTGCATATGGATCATTTGCATAGCATTTTTCAATTTGCAAGGTGCTAGGATGATAGACAGATACTTCATACACATAGTAACAGCCTTCCCATCTTTTTGGCCCTTTAGTACTCCAAACACCATTAGTTTCCACCAGCTGGATTATTTCCAGGGGACTCCCACCCACTGGATCCTTATAGATATGAGCATGCACTGCCTAATTTGATTCACAAATAAGCAAAAAAGAATGATTCTAAAGAGCATAAACAAGATTTCTTCAATTTTTTTCTAAAGTGGTAGTGCATACTTGGGCAGTGGGAGCCCAAAGGTATAGAGACACCGCCTCTTCTAAATAAAATGCACCAAGAGGACCATCATATGAGAATAATTCATCCAGGATACCAGGTAACTGCAAACCAGTAGCATTGCTGCACTTTCCATGGGCTGTATAGAAGAAGCATAACGGAGATATAAATGATAGGCACCAAATTAAAAGCACTAACCGGCCGAAAGAAATTAGATGCATTATGTTCATTCAGACAAAGAGAATTTGATAATAAATGTGTCCAGAAAATGGATAAGAGTGACTTCATCAAACAAATTAATGCTCACACAATAGAGCTTACAAAATATATGATGCAATTTCCAGAGAAAATGGACAAGAAACATAGAATGGCAGCAATAATTTACCCTAACACATCACCAAACCAATGTTACCAACTAAAAAGAAAGACCCAATTGAAAATGTCCAACGGATCATTGGATGGACAAACAAGCATACAAATATAAACTTGAATAAACAAATTTAAAACTGAATTGGCAGCAATAGGTTGTCAGCAAAAACAGAAATTTAATTAAAAAGTGCCAAAGACATAACTGAGGATGCTTCAAAACTTATTATCCTGATATGAGATCATTTACTTTCTTAATTACTGGTGGCAAATAATTTGCACATAAACAGAAGAGAAAGGAAAAGAAACCAAACACAGCCAAAATGCGTACAGTTGAATGCAGCAACTGCTAATTGGCATTTGAGGAGACTTTTGGTGTCCAGAGCAGGAGGCACTTTGAAAGCTCTATAATTTTGAATATGAGGAAACTTCTCAATTACCTATCAAGCTCAAGGCTAGAGGTGTAAGTCAATCACAAGGATTACTTCAAACTTATTAAAAATATGCTTTTATTATATGTTGGCATAAATAAGAACCAATGCGTAGACAAACCACACAATGAGACCAACAACAACTAGCAGTGGTAGAGCTAAAAGCTTAAATTATTACTGCAACTGGGAAAGGAAATTTTGTTACATTTGGAGGTAGCCCGGTGCTGTCTTCCTCAAGTTTAATTTCTGCATCCAGGCCTATCATGACAAATATTACATCAAACTAAGACAGCCGTCTTTTGATTTACAACAAAGACAAGACGCATATGACAAACTTAGATCACCACAATTAAAATTTAATTGTTAGCCTAATCCAAACCTTGAATTCCATCATCTGTAACAGATAAAGCAGCAACTTTACTTGCATACAAGTAGCAGGAACCATCCCCAACGTCTACATTCCACGCTATTATAGTTTTACTAACCCAATATGCCCTCGAATACAACAAACTGTCCTGCAACTGATCACCATTTTAAGTAAATTAGTATTCCAACAATTAGCATTGCATCTTTTCAAAACCAAATATTCAATCAGATTCTCAATGAAAACAAAAAAAAAAAAAAGAAATTCAAATTCTATTATAAGTGTCAAGTTTTCTTTCCAATTACATCTGTTTTGCAATGCTTATCCAACCATTCAGTATTATTAGCAAATCCCATCTTTATTTTCATCATTCCAAATTTAATTTTTTTAAGCCTTAATCCTTTTTGTCAATTTTAATCCTAAAAGAAAGGATAAAACCAAAGATAACGCATTTCTCTCAATGTAATAAAAATTCTCAAACTACTCTCAAAATCCATATATAATATCTCCCAAAATTCTCACAAAAGAAAAACTCATTAAAAGAACGAAAACGGTATCCAAAGAACAGAACTTTAAATTTAAAAATGGAAAAAAAAGGAGGAAGGGACCTTTCAGTTGAAAATATGTAGAAAACCCAAAGAGAGAAAAAGAAGAAGAACCTGGGACGAAGAGGAGTCTTGAAAGGGCATGGAAGAGGAAGAACAATTAAGGGGTTGTTTGGGAGAGGAAGTGAAAGAGAAAGGACGAGAGAGAAGAGGGCTTGGTTTGGTGTATAAACGACGTCGTATAGGAGTAGTGGCAGGGCATTGAAGAGGCTTGGCGGGTGTTGCTGGTGGTGTTGATGGGAGAAGTGACAGTGGAAGAGAAAGTACATCAAACATTTGTTTTTTGTTTTTTATTTTTTCTCTATCTCTGTTGAATGCTCTGTGAGTTATCTTTCTGGAATATTTTTATTCTGTTTATATATAAACGAGCAATGGCAAGATCATATCTTCATTTCGAGATCCAATCTTGAATAATTTTCAGTGTACCCTTGAAACAAAAGCGGGTGGTATACACCTAATCCTCTATCCTAAGCTTATCACAAATCAATCTGACATCATTGGTCAAAACAATGAAGAATTTGACATGAAAAGACTATACTTTTTCTCTGTTTTGCTTCCTGTACTTGAGACTTTATCTCTCTTTGTTACTTTCTATCTTTTTCCCTCTTTCTTCCATCAGCCTTTCCACATACTTGACCATTGTCTCATCAATTTGGTGGTGATAACTCAAAACTCATTACTCTGACATGGAGATGGAGAGTGCAACAGAGGATTTTTTGGACCATCCCTTGGTGTTCAACGAAGAACTGTACAACGAAAGCAAAGAAACTTGTTGCTCAGCTTTTGGGGGATCCATTATTGTCAACCCAAAGCTACAGCTGCGAGGAATGCGAGTTTCATCTTCATGAAAAATGTGCCCCGGCACCTTTAGAAATTAATCAGCACCCTCTTCATTGGGAACACCCTTTTCTTATTCTTCGGAAAGGTGTTGGTTGCTGTGATCTATGCCAGGAACCAGGTCAGATATTCATTTATCGATGACCTTTTTGCGCGTTTTCCCTTGATGTCAAATGTGCTTTGTTTTCACTTGGTCAAAATTTCCTAGAATTCAAATACAATGCCCACCTACATCCATTGCTAAAAATTTATTTGCTTCACCTGTGAGGAACCATTAATAGATTCTATATATGTTTGCACTGATTGCAGAATTTGTTTTCATAAGAAATGTGATCAATCACCCCTGCCATCGATTACACCCTCTTTTTCTTGAATTTAGTGACCAAAGGAGACTATTTTGCAATGCAAGCTATCTCTTGTTCATTTAAAGGGAAAAAAAAATGCTTCATGATGCTGCAACTTCCTTGCAAGGCAGAGAAAACGACTTGATCTACACTTGAATGCAGCTGTAAAATTTACTGTTGGCATCGAATGAATTTCCATGCCATGGCTGATAACTAAAACCAAGCAAAATAAGATTATTAAATTTATTGGGTATCGATCTTTAATTTACAAGAAAATAATGTATACGTATAAGCTAATACCTCCCTATGAGTGTGGATTTATATATGCTCAACTGAGATCATTACTGCTTCAATCAATATACAATTGGGGAGTTATTTATTGATTCTTTAAACACACAAGGCATCTTCTGTTAACATTATCACATCAGAAATCTTGGGGTTTCATGGGGCAATAATCAAATCAATTCTTGTCTTTCTTCGAGTTTTCCTTCCTTCTACTATTAATTAATTATTAGTGTAACTGTTATGGCGGCTTAAAAGACCTCAATAATAATAATAATAATAATTGTTGAAATAGTATTCCTTATTAATTTATAAATACTCGTAGCTTTCAATTAATGTCTTTCTTCAAAACTTTCGAGTAATGGTTGGTGCTTTAATGATTATGTATAAAACTATATTTAAGAAATAAAAAATGGAAACTATATTGGTATTGTAGCTAGCCTTCGGGTGTTTCTTTTTCTATCTTCCATTAATGTATTTCTTAATTAATTTATATTGGTAAGGCATAGTGTTTTAATAATGAAAAGTCGTTGTGAGTCTTTCTTTGTAACAGTCGATTGTCCTGACTCAAGGTATCATGGCATTCGAGGCATTCTTTTTCTAGTATTTAATTCAATTATAAGTCTTTCTTTAAAATTGATTATGAATCTGATATGGGAAGTGTGAGTGAAGTACAGCTCAATTCATTCTTCCCATTATTATTATTTTTAATTTGAGAAGTTGCACTATTATATTTAACCATTGACTTTTGTTAGTGTTATATTGAAACTTTAGACATCAGATCTGAAATACCCTTCCGCTGCATCATTGAACGATAGGTACCAGTGACAATTCAGTCATGGATATGTCCGCCGTTGAAGTACTATATTTCGGTCATCCACACGACCTGATGTCAGGAGACGGGATCGAAGATGATTATGATAAATATTGTGATGGATGCGGGCTTTTTATCTCAGGTTTGTTTGACCTTTGGGTTCAATCATTGTATGTAATAAATTGAAATAGAAACTGATCAAAACAAGATGAGAGGATACACTTCAATCTACTCTCCTAGGTAGATTATTGACAAAGATTGTCATGAAATCCTGTATCGCTCTAGGGAATCGTTGTGGAAGTCGCTGCATTCTCTCCTCTTTTATCAAACTCTTAACTTTGCTTTCCTTTGGTGCCGCCTTCAGCCAACAGTCACCGCCTGACTGCAGATTTTGAAAGGGGTAGTAGCTATTGAGTCAACTTTAATTCACAATCTCTGGTTCCCAATGGCCTTGACAGCGTCACTAGTGTCTTTCCTCTTTTTTCGAACACTAACTTTGCTCTCCTTTCGTGCCGCCTTCAGCCTACAGTCACTCCTCACCAGTCTCGAGCACGTAATTTCTCACCAGTCTGACTTAATTAGCATTAGATGAGACTCTGTAAATGGAAGGCTCCCACCTACACCAGCAATTCCCCATTATAGCAAAAAGCAGAAAGAAGCCAAAGAAAAATCAACTTCCTTCACAAACAACCCATCATCATTCAAAACCATGTTTCTACTGAATTCACCATATTTAATACGAATTTTCACTTTTGGAAAATTCTCAAAAGAAAGTTATACTTTACAGCGACACTATTATTTCATTTGAATTCAGCATACCTTTCACAAGCTATATTATACTACTGTTCTTTGCAGGTTTGTTTTTCTACTGTTCACCATGTGGTTTCTATCTACATAAAGCTTGTATTGAAATGCCATCGATGGTGAATCACTGGTCACATCGACACTCCCTTATCTATATAACAGTTACCACTCCTTTTCAATGTTACTTTTGTCTTCAAAGTTGCACTGGGTTTTGTTACTGCTGTAACCTATGTGTACTTGAGATATGCGCTCGCTGTGCTACTATTTCCAATCCCCACCATCATCCAGGACACAAAGATGAACTCACCTTTTCTGATATCATCTTTGAAGGGAAATGCGCCGCCTGTGGCGATGGTATTTATGATGAGAAAGCATACAGATGTAGGGATTGCATTCATTATGGTTTGGATTTAAAATGCTTGACACTTCCACTTGCAGCACGGCACAGGTGTGATAAACACATCCTAGAACTTGTTTATTATGATGAAAATGATGATCTGGAACAACCTCATTGTGATATTTGTAAAGAGAGAAGACTTCCAAATCATTGGTTTTACCGTTGTTCCATTTGCAACAATTCTGCTCATCCCAAATGTGCTCTTGGAAAATATCCATTTATTAAGGATGGGAGTACCCTCAGTCATAAAAATCATCCACACCCTCTGATTTCTGTCAAGAAGGTTTCCAACCTTAAATCTGATGAATGTGTTGAATGTGGCGATTCTTGTCAAGATTTGGCTCTATTGTGTGAATCATGCGACTATCTTGCCCACTTCGAATGTTTAGATACGAAAACACTGAAGACTGAAGGAAATCCTGATGAGTTACCAAAGGAGATTAATCATCTCTGTCACCGTATACATCCTCTTTCTTTAAAATTCCATAACAGGTATACTTTTTGCGAGATATGCAAAAAGAAAGAACGGGGATATTTTTATGGATGTTCTCCTTGCAATTTTCACATTCACATTGATTGTGCAGTTCCAAGCCTTGTTATTGAAAATGAAACTCATGTGCACTCATTCAACTTGTTTTGGAGACAAGGCTCGTTTATTTGTGATGCATGTGGTACCGAGGGGAATTACGCTTCCTATATATGTTCTACATGTCACCTCCAAGTCCACGAGAAATGCACTTCACTGCCACGCATCATCAAAACCGCAAAGCATTATGATCATTCTATTTTTCACAACTATTTTGTTCAAGGAAGTGACCTTGATCAAAAGCATGAATGCAGAGTTTGTTACAAAGAAGTGAAGAAAGAGCATGGCTGTTATAGTTGTTTGAGGCAAGATTGCAAATATATTGTTCATGTGAATTGTGCTATTGTGGAAGGTATGTACTGGATAATTGATTCAGAAAATGAAGATGACAATTCAGACATGGATTCTTCCATCACTCGTGTTATTGAGGTGAACGAAAGAGGAGAAGCAGTAAGGATAGAACATTTCAGTCATGGCCACGACTTACTGTTAGGAGACAAGATCAAAGAAGACGATGATAAATGTTGTGATGGGTGCGTGCTGCCTATCTCAGGTTTGTTTTACTATTGTTCACAATGTGATTTCTTTCTCCATAAAACTTGTGCTGAATTACCAAGGAAGAAGCATCATTGGTTTCATAACCACCGACTTACCCTTGAATCAATTGCCACGTATCTTTTGGAGGTAAAGGAAACAAAATCAGCTTGCATTTTTGAATGTCGCTTTTGTCTTCATGTTTGTAGTGGTTTTTTTCACTGCTGTTATGAATGTGACCTCAAGGTATGCCTTCGGTGTGCTAGTATTCCTCATGCCCACCAACATTCAGGACACAAAGACCACATCTTTTTAAATAGCCAATACAAAGGGAAATGCACTGCATGTGGCTGTGGCATTTATCATGGGAATTCATACAAATGTAAGGATTGCACTGATATTTATGCTTTGGATTATGCATGCTTGACACTTCCACTTGTAGCACGGCACAAGTGTGACAAACACATCCTAAAGCTTGTCTATCATGACGAAAATGATGACCCGGAACAGCATTATTGTGATATTTGTGAAGAGAAAAGAGATCCAAATCATTGGTTTTACTTTTGTTCCATTTGTGATAATTCTGCTCATCCTAAATGTGTTCTTGGAAAAAATCCATTTATTAAGATTGGGAGTACATACCTCAACGAAGATCAAGAACCCCGCCTCACTTTTACGAAGAAAATTGGCTACTACCCTAAATGTTTTGAATGCGGTAAGCCTTGTCAAGATTTGACTCTTGAGAATGCAAACTCTGTATGCTACCACTTCAACTGTGTTCTGAAAAACTATTTGAAGTATGTTAGAGAACGAATGCTTTGATCTTCTTCAAAATTGTGATCCATTTTTAATCAGATTGATGTGTTTATTGGAGAGGTTAGAGTAATTTATTTCAGAATGTGTTCGGAGAAGCAAATGGCATGTAGGTTCTTTGGCAAAGGCTGGTGTGGATTGAGGTGATATGTTTATGGCATAGTGGTGAGTTTGTGAAGCTTCCCATCTGGTTGTATCAGCTATAAGCAGATTTCTCTTGTCGGATTCTTCATGTGTGAGGGTGACTGTTTGAGTTGTATGACTGGTTGGCTTCTTGGTTTGGGGATTGTAATATTGTTTGTTTGTTTGTTTTCTTTTTTTGGGTTAAATGTTATGTTGTTTGTAATTTGAGGTGTTCTCTGTTTTGGTTGTATTCTCTCATTCTGCCCTTTATGTTTATTCAATAAACTTCCTTGTGATGTTGTTACTTGTTCTTCCCTTGTTTGTATATATAGATTGTGACTTGTTATTTAGACATGCACTAAACCATTAACCACTTCTAAGAAAAGCTTACAACTTTTTGTTTTTGATTCACTCTTATCTATCTTCCCCCTTTTTTTTTTCTTTTTTCCTATCTAAAAAATCTGTTAATTATCGATTTACCCGAAAAATGTTTGGGGTTAAATACTTATAACATTTGTATTGATTAACAACAATAGTAATAATATTAGTAATATTATAATAGTATTATAAAAAATAAAATTCTAGCTTATATATATATGTTTTGCATTAGTACATTATTACTATTACTATTTGTTATAATCATTACAATAAAGAATTTTAAAGGTAAAATACATCCAAATCATTAAAGATTGTTTTAATTTATCTCAAATCCATTAAATTTTAAAATAGAAACTCCATTTCAAAACATCAAACAATGTTAAGGGATATTAAAAAATTATTAAATTATCCATACTAAAACACCAAAACTGAGCTAAGAAAAACATTGATTGATAATACCACCATAAGCTTACTTGCAAACTACTTAAAAGTTTTTTGTGGAGGAGTGCATAGTTGAGAAGATTGTGACCATCCTATAGGCAATTGTTCCTCAAGATATTGGAAACCAATGTGTTATTGGCAAAAGACTTATACAGAGATTTTCCAATCAAGAAATTCTTATCAAAAGATACATGTACAGGAACTTGATTGAATGCAATAAATGCTTATGTGGTATGATGACATGCAAACATCGATATCAAGAAGAGAAATTCGATCTTAGTAAGAGAAGCGAAGGAAATCTATCAAACTATCAAAATTTCTTTAGGGCATCAAAGCTTCCTACTTAACTAGCTAGCCCTTTTACATTTTTTTTCATAGCTGTAGTAACCAATTCTTCCATAACAAATTCTAGTAGCACGTACCACTTCTCCTATTCCTCCATAAAAAATTCTGTTCATTTTCCTTCTTGGTAAATTCAGTTTAATTCCCTTCTTGTAGGCCATGATCTCATTGGCTACAGCACTAGCAAGACTCCTTGCCCTCAAGTCATAGTCTCAGCTGGTAGCACACAAACCTTAAAGAGCAAAAACAAAATAAGATTAGTTCATACTGCATGTCATTGTTGCTTCTGTTTCAAGATCGATTATTCCTCTTATTGCAACTATAAAAACTTCTCAAGAAGCATGGGAGAAGCTTTTCAAGATGTTTGTCAACAAGACCCACCCGCACCAGGGTTATATTTTCGAAAAAGATGCATTGGAGGTCACGGAGAGAAAGGTTAAAGTAATCTTGAAAGTATTGAATGTTGTGGTAAGTAAAAGAAAATATAAGTACCAAGTTAATAAGATTGAGAATGGAGCGAAAAATGGCTAAGTATAAGAGGATTTGATAAAGAAGATTAAGAGAGAGTTAACTGTGAAAATATGTCTATATTAGCTCAAGAAATCTTGTTCAACCTCAAAATGCATTATTAAAACTTTATATATAAAGTCAGAAGAAACAATTACTCAAGAACATGTTTTAGTGCACATAATGAATAACCATACCGAAAAGAATTTTGTTGTGCATAATTGGTAACAGATATTGATAAGAGTTTCATCGTACATAATGAATAGCGTTATTCGCAGACAGATGAGCAAAGGAAGGGGTCCAGCACAGAGCAACTTTCTGAATGTTTTTGAGGAAATCAATTTGGAATCAAATAGAGAGCCAAAGGGTGCAGCGGACAGAGGACCTTATCACTGTCCTGGAGTAACCTATGTTCAGTGCGAGGTTGAGGAATAAGGTATGCTTTGTTCAGGTGACGTGGGAGGGTACCTACAGGACCAGGTATGTTCTTCTGTGTCTGCTGTTCTTGATGAGATTGTTGGTGAAATGGCTATAAAGACCACATGGCGCGTAAGGCCTCTTTGATCTTGTGGGGGCGATGCTATGAAGTTTGTTGGGCATAATTGTGGAAAATTATTTGTGTAACACCTAACCCCGTGACCTTGATCTGGGGATGAAGCTTGATGTCTTGTTGGTCAATTTGTTTTCTTGATACTTACTGTACATGTTAGAGATGTGATATGAAGGGGTAGGGGACTGCTTTTTCTTCTGTACTGAGCAAGGGCATGATATTAATTTTGCTGTAATGACAGGGTATGTAATGAGGTTGTTTTGGGTATGGCGGCTGTTCCAAATGCTAGGAAAACCAGGGAATGGCTGCACAATGTTTTTCTTGTAGGGGATTCTTTCTGTAGAGGTGATTTTGAAGTGTTACCCCTATGCTAGAGTGTAACAGATCTGAATCTCCTCTTTTTTTTCCGTAGGTGAACATATTTCTTCCCTTGTTTCTGAATTTGCATGAAATTTCGAAAAAAAAAATAATGTATAGCAGATATTGAAATTCATAATGTGGCTTTTGAAATATTAGATTTTTCTAACGGATGATCATTGGTTGTGTAATACTACTTGTTATAAAACAATTCTCTAAAAAATAATAAGTTAAAAGCTAAAATTATCTACACGTAGCAATCTTTCAACAATAAACTTCACACACTCCCATTGCAGCAGAGCTTCTTGAGTTTCATAGTTCTAGTTCTTCGATATTGTCTACAGGTTTGGTAAGGTTGAACCATGAAACTTGACTCTTAAATTTACAAAGTAACACTACCAAAAGTTGCCATTTGATACGGGCTTTCTAAAAAGATATTTGATGATATTTTCAGTTTTAATAAGTGACTCATTTAATTTGACTGTTTACATATTCATCACATTAAAGTTTCCAATTCTAGAACAGGGATTGATGGCAATTAATCCTCTAAAATCTATGGAGTGACCACCTTTAACTGAAATCCAATTGCCATCTGTTACATTCAAAAGTCATACCTGATACCACCAGCATAGACAATTGGTCTTAACAAGATTGAAAGACGTTCGAAGGTGTAGATTTAGTTGCATTTGCTATTAGGCTATGCCCAGATTCACAAGTCAAAAGGAATTGCCCTTCCAGTTATCATACTGATAAGCTGGTATTTACAGCCAGATATCCTGACGCACAAGTTTTCAAAAAAATGAACATTCAGGTGCTTGCAGATAGAAGCAAGATGCCTCGGTGCAGAAGCAACTCTGTTGTTTGACACAGTAATTAGTTTAGTACAATTCAATTTATCATTAAAAGTTCTCCTTGATCTAGTGAGATCTAGTTTGCTAGGTCATTGGGCATATTGGCTCACACCTAGTAAGTTTTATAAGCCTTTACCAATGCAACAATAGGCCCAAGAGTCTAGGACAGATCACAGATGAAATCTGAACCCCTTTCATCCGGTGCAGCAGCTATGAAATTTGCTCTGCTGCCAAATATTGTAAACCCCAAGCAACAAGCCCATAAATTAGTCCTTCCTTTTTTGGAGGTCTTTGTTAACAGTTGTTTCTTGACAGCATATTTTTGGCTTTCAGTTTGCAATTAATACTTACTATTATATATGTTCATTTCAAGACATATTTAATGTTGCAGACTGCAGATTTGCAGCTTTTGAAGAACCTGACCTACAGGACACTGAACTTGGACAGGAATTAGTTGTGACAACTTTTGTTAATTGGATTGCCTAGCTAGTGCAGTCATCTGGTGGCCTGCCAGTTCCTGCCCTTCAAATGCAGTTTAATTGGATGGATTTCAATCCTTTGCTGTGTTTTAGAACATGAATATGAGAGAGTGGAATTTGGATTCAGTTTGCTATATATATATTGTAGAATGAAATGCACAAGCTTTGCAGAAATTAGTTAATATTCAACATACCTAAGTATTTGAAAGGGTATAAGAAGATGAATTTCAAATTCACAAATTCCTATAAATACTTCAAATTCACCACTAAAAAGGAATCCAACAAATCTATAGATTTGAAATTCTTTCAAGCTTGTGCATTGTGGAATTTCATTTGTTTCTTTTCCTGTCAAGTTACATATTCATCCATAAATTATGATAAGGTGACGTTTTATAAGACAGACTAAACTCTCTAGTGAATTAATCATGAGTGTAATCTAGATTACTCACATTGTCATGTCTTCTAAGTGAATTAATCATTGATAATATTGGGGAACCACAAATTTTAACATGCTTTTGAGGAGAGCTTTGCTTAATGGGAAAAGACAATGCACTGCCATTTTTACCCCTTCCAATTGCAGTAACAGGCAAAATACATATTAATGGAATTAAGGAGGATAAATTTTGCAGATACTTAGGTTAGGGGCTGGGGATGATTGGCTACATCTCTGAAGTTTCACAGCGGTTTTTAAAACAGGTTAGTAACTAAGTTCCAAGCCAAAGTCACAATCTATTATATGATTAAAAGAACAGTTGGTCTGGGCAAAAAAAGACATTTGATGCACCCAGCTTTCAGTTCACTGCTCATTTTGTTCTTCTGTTTAGACCGTAAAGTAATATTCCAGTTGAAATTGGGCCAAACCAGGAGTCTGATGCCTTGGTAGACCCTGGAAAACGTGTGGGACCATTACCGGTGAATCTTGCGCTAACCAGCATGTGCCGTGCATGATTATGGCTAAACCGATCATTGAAAGCAAAATCCGTAAACATCTTTAATTAGTCCCTATGCTTTGATGCAAATGCTGCACCACCGGTCTTAAAGCAAACAATGACCTTGACCCCTCCATGTGAAGCAAAGCATTATTTTTGAGGGTTTTCTTTGTCTAATTTTTGTCAAACTTAGTTTTTGATCAATGGGTACTGATCAATACTTTATGGGAGCTCATATGCAGTAGTCATGATAGTGAAATCTGATTAGTTGCGCTTTTAATGGCAGACATTCACCATGGATGGTAGGTGTGCTTCATGGAAAGAAAAAAGAAATCTCTCTGAAGATCTATGATTGCTTTGTCTGGTCATACTTTTCATCATTAACCAACTTTAATCTAACCAAATGCCAAAGCAAAGACAAAGGAATGCCATGAGAGCATAAGGCACAACATTAATTTGATTGAAGCATACAAATCTTCCCAAATTTTGGCTACATCAGAAATTTCATAAAAGGTTCCTTACTAATCTGGAAAATTGGA